AGACATATTAATCTCATAAGAGAAATATCGAGATTTTCTTTGCAAAAAACAATATTTTGTCAATTGTTTCAGTGAATTTGAAAGTAGGCTTACACGAAATTCGTTTATCAAATGACATGTATGTTGTATTATATTGTAGACATATGACAGTGATTGACTCCTGTTACATTTGTTTATATTCGAAACTTTTTACACAGTTCAAACGATTGCTGTAACGAGTTTGTTGATTCAACACAATTTTCTCAATGCATTGACCTCCATACAAACAATGTTTCATCCACTTTTCCTTGAAAAAAAACTTGAAAACCCTAACAGGGTTCGTTCGAAAATGGTGCCACTCATTAAGTTTAGAAAGAGAATCAGAAAAAATGGACTAAGAATGACATGAGAGAAATAAGAGAATTAATGGTATCAACCTCTACTTATGGCTACAGAACATTGTGATATAATCTAACAACTATTTCAGATGATGTGCACTTGTGTATGGCTATGTAAAAGTTCTTATGTTCTGCTAGTTTTCTTATGCTAACGATCAACTTCTAAAAAGTAACTCCATTTTTCAGATAAAACAAATATGACTTATGCTCTAATGAAAGGCAAAAGGAAAGAGAAATTTTCATTAGAAATCTTAGGCCATATTCTATTGATTCTATGCAAAATTAAACACAGTGGATGGCATAGTTCTGAATAATAGTACGGACAGTCAAAGAATCGATCTATTAGCATACCGAAAATAGCTTTCTGTCGGATAGTAATGCCATCTACGCGAGGCGAAATATTTGGGAGAAAGTGACAAGCAATGACTAGGAGAAAGGAGGACAAAAAAAAGTCTAAAATCGAATGGCGCCATTTTCCAACAGTCTCATTATATTTTTCCAATTATAGTTTCAAAGACTTAGATGTATACTTCACTGATATCTTGTACTGTTTATGGTTCATTTTTCAAATTGTTTGAGATACTCCTTTCTACTTCCATATCAGATGATAGAAAGTAGGGAGATCATGCTAGATATAGCAAGTCTTTGGATTGACTCCAAATGTTATTTTATTCTTCTATGTTAAGGGAGCAATTTGGAAGCATACGTAGAATTCATACTTACCAAAAACCTGATGGATTCACCGAAAGGGTATGGGTTGCATTTGTCGATGATGCGAAAACTAATCGTTGCGGCTGGGTTTCAGAATGGTATGGGTTTTGAATCATTAGTAGTGAATGGCAAGCCTTCTTTGCGGCGATACTCTCCTGCTCCTCCTACATTTAACGTCTGTGCCTGTAGTGTTGCATTTGATTGTCTAGATCCTTTACAGGCTGAAGGTCAGTTTTTGTGTCAGTATGGTGACAACTGCACAGCTGGTACAGTAGTCTGGAGTGTACCCGGTGTGGTCAAGTCATGCGCCGATATCGAAACACTATTAAATTCTGATTTACGCTGCATTTTCAATCAGACCTGTTTGACTATTCTTCTCTCCATGTACAATGTTGATATGCTCAAGCGACTGCCACTACCTTCAGCTACGCTTAATATAAAACCTTTGAATAGTTCAGTTTTGTCATCGTTTTCACCGGAAGACACACTTGGGACCATTCTCAATAAACTGATGATTGATGAGTGGAATTTGAGCTCAAACTTTGATGGCTACTATAAGACTTGTGCTCCTGCTACCTGTACATACAGTATTGTACAGCGAATGGATCGTGTTTATATTCTTTCAATCATCGGTGGACTATTTGGTGGTCTTGTCACTATTCTTCGTCTTATTGTTCCGATTGCTGCAAAGATTTTCCATTCGATTATCGTTCATCAACGTCGGCGTCGATCAAATATTCACAATCGACAGCTTGACAGACATGAAGGTAAACAATCATTTCGTACTTAACAGCAAATTTATTTAGTAAGTATGTGGAAAGAAAACGTGTCGAACGTCTTTCGGCCATTTCCCTGTGAATTTTTGACAAAAAAAAACATTTTCATCCAGAGGATGCCAGATCATGCTTGTGATGGTGTGAGAAATTATCGACACTTTCGCCTTCTATTTTTGAACAAAAAACCTTTCAGTGCAATTCCGAGAGAAATAAAATTTGTAGCATGATGGAATCGGTTGTATACGAATGTGAAGACTCTTGTTATGTTTATCATGATCTAATCAAAGCTCAAGGAAACATTCTTCTCAAGTGTTGATGATATGGAGTAATATGCCATATTGAGAAAAAGAAAAATCACGTTTGAATTTAGTGGATTTCGAATAGATACGAAATCCCAAAATTCTTCGATAATATCAAAGTTTGAGATTTAAAATTTGAAAAGCATATGTCGATATGTCTTTCACGATCTGTGAGTATGCCAGAAAGTGGAGACTCATTTTTTTCATCATAGGCTTCAACACTTTTTAACTATCGTATTTATAAAATCTAAATGATGACATCCTACGCAAGACGATCATTTTATCAAAACAGTCTTCCATTTCTTGCATCAAATTCAGAAGACAAGAAACATATGAATAAATATGCTATTTAGTTCTTCAAAATTTTTCTTTCTATGATCCAAACTTGATAGATTCGAATTTGAGATCATCGCCCGGCGACGCATACACCTCATTTTTGATGGACACATTTTCATAATAGAATGATTGCTTGTATTTTGTCATTTCTTAGATCTGTTACATCGACTCAACAACCTAAGAATTGAAATAAAGAAACGCTTGGTCAAAATGAATCTCTTCAGAAAAGAATACTCCACTAGTCAAATACGAGATCGCGAAGAAGTGGCACTTACATCAAGTCGGATCTATATTATTGTACTCAGTGCAGTCATGACGACACTTGCCATTTCTAACGGTTTCAGTCTTATCAATG